GTTTTACGTGGCGGGGCTGTGCGAGGGTAGGGAGAAGAGCCTGCAAGAACAGGTACGAATTCCTACGAGTTTTGTACACATTCCGAGGTTCCTGCTGAGCAGCCTGCATACCCACCTTTTTTTCCATGGAGCCGTCGGACCTTGCAGAGGACCAAAGATTGCCTCTGGGGTCCCCATGCAGGTTCTCAAACCATTGTCCGCATCAGGGGACGGTTGTTGGTCCCCACTAGTAGCTGCAGGTTCCTGATTTTTGAGGACCGTGGTATTCTGTGATCTTTTGTCGGGGCACACACCTAGATTGGCCAATCGCTACATTCACTCCACCGCTCGTCTGCAACACGACGCCAACCGGACAGTTGCTAACCTTGACCCTGAAATCCTCGGCTCGAAACATGCCCTGAGCACACTCTACAGGACGATTCCTTGAGGAAACGGATTGACAGCTTCGGCTCCGACCTCAGGAAGTGCCATCGCTGCAATGGGAGTGACTTTGCGCCGAAGATCTGATGGTGCATCTGATTTTTCTTCAGGGAATTCTGGGTCTGCAGATTTTGGCATTTATGGCAATCTATGGTTCATTTCTTGGGAGACGGATGTAGCCGGCTGGACTTCAGCAACAATTGCTGACATGCTGGCGCTGCTGCTCTTGCACTTCCGGCTGCACTTGGCTGGGTGGGCTTGAAGAATTTGGGAGTTCCTCCGGCACGGCTCCCAAGTCGGCTCACAAGGAGCCAGCATGAGCCTGGTGGTGTTGCAGATGTCGCTGCTCACATTTGTAGGTACTTAACCTCAGAACATATAGCGAATATATCGCTAGGGATACGACCGGCTGGGTCGCCTCTAGCCCGTCCTCGGGAATGAGCCAAGATGGCACTCAGACACCCCGAGGTGGATGTCAACATCTTAGACTTGGGTGTGGAGCAGCTGCGCTGCATGGACATACTCAAGGTGTGGAAGTGAGAGGCTCGGAAATGTCTCCACAAACTTGGATTGGCAGGCGCCACAGGACAAGATGGTTTGCATCCTGAATGCCGGCCGCGTGGCCTGGGCCTTTGGACTATCGATTTGCTCCACGGCGCAAGCCAAAAGATATCCGACGATTCTCGAAATGATCGTGCGCCCGGCTGCTAAGATCAACGACGTGGCAAGTTCAGATCTCGGGCAAGGTCGGGCAGATGAAGAAGAAGCTGTTTCCTCCTACGCTAGGTGTTGGAATGCTTGACAAAACCTCAAAGCCTGCGCTAAGGCGGTGCCAGCAGGCAGCTTTCAGCTGACGACTTCCTGCCTTTGCTGTCTTATTCCCTGATTCTTGCAGGTCGGTGGCTTAAAGTTGGGTGCCTCCAAAGTTCCCAGACCAAAGTTGCAGTTGAAGCAGTAGTTCCACAGGAAAGTCCTCCAAGAACTCTCGAAAAATCAAAGTCGCAGTAGAGTCTCCAAGAGGCCACGAGCATGCAGCAATGCCTCGCCGCCCAAACATCTATGCTTCAAAGCCGGAAAGCCTTACAGCAACCCATGAGAAAGAGAAAGCCCTGCTAAAGACATACTTGAGGCCAACCCTGCACGTCTTCATTCCAACATCGAGTTCGCTGCGGCCTTTAGGCTCTCACTCTTTTAGGGTCCCGCTTCAGAAGGCTTCATGTGCGGGTTTTTGGGCATTGTCAGCTGGCCTCTTCTTCCAGTTTGGTGGGCATGGGCTTTGTGCCCCGAGCTTTAGTTGCTACACCCCTAGCAGCTTAGTAGGACAGGGTTGTCCCAAAAACAAGCTGGACTTTTGAGGCGTTTTTGCCAGAGCAGTTTATTGCCAGATAGAAGATCACTGGAGACGGACAGGTCTGGGAATCTTCCTATATGGCAGATCTCTCCTTGAGGTCAAAGGGTTGTAAGTTGATTCAGCAGAGGTCGACCTTAGCTGAGATTCGCCTGCCAGCCTGAAAGCCACAGAATAAGTGGGACCTGCAACACCTCAGCAATGTCTTGAACCTGCAGCCTTGTTAAATGCAAGTTGCGCACCATCTCGGCAAGCTCGCCTTTCTCGCGTCGTGTACCGTGCATGTGCTTTCAGCTAGCTGTGTGATCCTCGTGTGAGAGTAGCTTCACGATTGTAGCTTTGAAACGCAGCCGCAAGATCTGCTTGGGAGGCACCCCTCGCGACTTGGCGGAGAGGAGGGAGCCGCGTGTGAGTTTGGAGTCTAGGGGATGTCGTGGCCTTCGCGAGACATTCACTCCCTGAGGCCCGTCTGCCAACAAAGCAAGGAAGCCACATGAAGCTCCATTGCTTCACCATGCTTCACAACTCACATTCCCAGCTACAGCTACGCCTATTGATGGTACTGTCTCAAAATTGGCAGCTCTTTCACGTGTTGGTGATTGTTCGTTAGCCGTCATGGCTGCTGTCACCTGGAGGCGTGTTTGCAAGAAGGGCCTAGCTGTCCGTTCAATCGCGAGGATGCCTACTTTCTCACAGCACTGCGGCACGGATCCAAGACATTGAAGACCAAGACGAAACAAATGAGCATGCGCTCTGCGCACAGTTTTCACAATCATGCGCTCAGCTGAGGGCTTCGCATGTGCTTGACCTTCTTAGAGTCCTAGAGTCAACAGCATAGGCATTGGCCTATCTTGCAGACATGAGGTCTGCTGTGGCATTTATCAAGGATGCTGGATACAAGGTCGGTGCCTCTGACTCCTCCCTGGGCACGTCAGGGTCCCCTGAGTGTTACAGCATGCTATGACCAAGAGGTTGCATTCGACAGGCTCATGCTTAGAGTGAAAGTTGGTGTCGACTGATACAAAGTGTTCAGATGAAGCTAGCAGCTAGCACCCGCTACCAGCCAATGCGCAGAACAGGAACTCGACGTTTCAGAGGAGACCTTCAAGCAGTTGTGCACCGAGTGCGGAGCCTGGAGAGTGCCAGGGTTCAGGATTGGTCTTGGCTCGTGATTCGTCGCTTGAGCCCCCTTGAAGATCATGGTTCAACAGGGCAACCGGGCTGCTCTAAAGTGGCGTTTGCGAGACCAACCCGTCATGGCCCTTGAAGCCCCAAACCCACCCTGGCAGGTCCCTCACCGCCAAAGGCTATGCGGCGAACGAGGATAGCGACATCCTCTCAGTGTCGCTGTCGCCGCGGGCTCAGCCGTCTGGTAGCCTTTCAGAGCCAGCATCCACGTCACTTTTGCTGGATGATTCCTAGGCTCGACTCGGAAAAACCCATCAAGCGGCGCGTCTTGGCGAATCTAATACAGCCGACCATCCTCAAATCCTAAACGCAATGTTCCATCAGCATAAGGTTCCCCTTCTCTCATGCAGGCACGAAAGCGCAACGAAAGCACCAGCGCCAGCAACAGCGCCGGCGCCAGCGGCGCGGCTGATCGGCGTTGGCCTCTCGGCGACACGGGGGTCTCCCTTTGTCCTCTGTAGACGCAGTATGGCTGGGCCTTATAAAACCTAGTATAGTATGACTATATGGTTTCTGGCCACCAAGGTCGAATCGACAGGCATGTCGCAGGATGTCTAGACGGCTCTTAGGGCCGAGTGATGCAGCTTCAGGATAGGGTGCTTGCCCTGAACCCTGTAATCCTGTAAACCTCAAATCACAGCAGTATTAGCTGCAGGTAGGAGTTGTGTGTGTGTGTGTCCGAAGCCTCACGACTTTGCGCAGAAACTGCCTTGCCAAGAGTCCAATGTACAGTGCATGGCCAGTGCGTGCAGTTCTTTAATGAGGCTGGTGAGCGGCTGGTGATTGGGGTGGGGCGCTGCTTCCAGACGTGAGTGCTTTCGACCGTGCCAAAAACCCATGCAGCTGCGCAGATCATCATGGGGCTCTTGTTATGTGTCGCTGCGTGCCACAGCACACGGCATATGATGCACACATCTGTTTTTTGAAAGTCGGTTTGTTTATATTGAGATAGGATATGTGATATTCATTATTTACGAACGCAAATGGAGATTTCATTTCGATATTTCATTGCGGTATCTATTCTTGATATTCTCAGAAGAAGAATCTATTCGAAAGTTGTCGTTTGTAGGCCCCCGTACACGAATTTTTGAAAGGTCAACAAGGAACGTTTTCAAGGAACATGGAATGAAGTAAGAAATCGTTGGGGATTATTGCTTGATGAGCCGGATAGGTGGCCGGTCGGCTTTCTGATTATCTGTTCTGCACTTTATCATTAATTGTCATGGAGTTCCTTTTTCGGATAATTATTGATTGCGTAATCGTCTTCCCGTTTCGGGCCGCCAAGGGACGCGTGACTACTGAGGAACATGCTGCATTGAAATAATGTTAACGGGCTACCCAAGCTAGATGTCACGAGCAGGAGATCGGATTCGAACATCTTAATGGACGTCTCGTAGGTCAAATCCGACACTTGCTACAGGATCGAATTTCGATCGCCCTCCAATGATATATCCATCATGGCTTTTCACGAAGGCGTACGGGTTGTCAGGGCCAGTTCGATTCCTTACCTCTCGGTTTCGTATTTGATTAGATTGGGATTAACGATGAATGTGCGCACGTTTGATCTGGATAGGACCCCCGCACGGGGGAGACATCATAAATCACGTGTGTTTGGTCCATTTCCTTCTTGAAGATTTCTTTTTTTTTTTTTTGGGGGGGGGGGGGGGCGGAGGTACTTTGTTTTCTTATCATATTGTACTAGCGGTATATTCACCATAAGATGTAGCTACGCTGCAAATCCTTGGGTCCATGTAGTGTCTTTTGAACTTCGGCTCCTTCCCCCAGCCCTTCCCGTAGCCCTCACCCCCCAAAACAGAGACAAGTAAGGTAAACAACAGAAAACAAAGCATGGGTTTTTAGATGTATTGCGGAAGCAAGTGCGTAGTACAGCCTTCCTACACATCATCACATGATCTCGAAAGCAATCCCCTAAATCCATACTACATGACGACAAGAGAAGCTCGAAGTGCTGTGTCAACTCATACTCCTTTTCAGCGTAAAACAGGTGCCCCAAACCCTTAAAGCCGTAGACCCAGAACCCTCCATGGCGGAGAGCTTCGCGTGCTTGGACCTGTGTGACTTCATCCGGGCGGAAGGTGGCAGCGTGTCTTCCAGCAAGCTTCTTGCCTTTTGTGCGCAGAACGAAGAGTTGGCAAAGCTCCCGAACGTCTGGGAATTTTGTAGGCAGCATGCCTCCCGGCTTGTGGTGTATGATTCCGGCCCCATGCAGAACTGGTCAGTGCATTTACTCAAGACCGAAGAGGAGCGAGCCTTGGAAAACGAGAGTGTCCGAGCTGCAGCGATGCTCGCGGTCCACATTGCCAGTAAACTTGGTCCGTTCCGCGTGTCGGATCTTCGCATGTTCTACTGCCTGCACCCAGACTGTGAAGACATCATCTCTCGGCGCGGCGGTCTGCAGGACTTTTGCGAGGAGCACGGCAAGCTGCTGTGCTTCCATGTTGTGGCGCCATTTTACGATGAGATTTCCGTACCCGTGCACTGGTGCGACTCCCTCCCTCCCTCAGATGCCGGGCACTGTTCCCGAGGCCGTGACTTGTCCCAGACGAGCAAGAAAAGCACAAAACATTTGTTTTTATTGTGTTTTTTCAGACCCTAGTCTGGAGTGACCTTCTTCGCGGGATTTCTGGAGTTCTTTCGACGGGCCCTAAAAACCTGTAGAGGTTCTTGGAGGAGTTGGGAAAGTGAGTGTAGGTTTAGATATTGCCTTTACGTGGTACATTCCCTAACCCCGCCGATTGGTTCGTCCAACTATGCGGGAGTGAACAAGGTCTAAGCCCTATCAAAAAGCACTCTCAGGGAGATCTCTTTCCCCCCCCCCCTGCATGAAGCTGCAAGGAGACTGCATGCACGGCCACTGGCAAAATCTTCTGCAACTGGCGGGTGCTGACCGGACGGATGACGATGGCAGTGATGGCAGTGATGGCTCTGACAGCCCCAGCGAGGTTGAATCCATTGAAGTAGAGCCCAACAGGCTGGAGCTGTGCGTCAGCCACATACGATGGGCCCATGACTCCATCAACACGCGCTTCCGAAACGGCACACTGCTGGTGGATACACTCTGGGAGCTCTTCTCAGGTCAGCTGGAGCCCAGTGGCTTGCTCAGCTTTACTGTGGCATGGTGGCGCGATGCTTGGTTTGCCATCACAGGCAACAGGCGGCTGTGGGTGCTGAAGGAGTTGTCTCGACTGACGGGGGAAAAAGTCACAGTCATGGTCGATCGCCTCTGCGATCATTCGGTCTTCTCCCCATGGTGCCGGCAGAAGTTCACGACGTGCTGTAGCGGGATGTTCGTAGACTTCCAGCTTCACAATTGGGAGTCGTCACTCGCTGATGCGGCCTCTTTCCCAAGCATGGCGTTTGCACTGTGCGCAGCGAGTCAAAGCACGGTCATCAGCGACCAGGACATCGCTATCGGGCGGGAGCTTCAGAAGTCTTCTGGGCAGTCCACGCTCCGAGCCGCCTGGCTCAAGTTGCAAACTTCGTGTGTTTGGGAGCCCACGGAGAAGGACACCCCAAAAGTTGCATCTTAGATGCCGTAGAGGGAACCCAGCATCACTGAGCACGCAAGCCCTTCGATCTCAACTTTTTTTGGCCGAAGACCCTAAACCCTAAACCATAAACCCTAAACCGATGCATGACCTAAGTCACTGCAGCAGCGCTTCCGCGAGCTCTGCGTGGAGGATCGCGTTCGCGCACAGCCGCGCCTGTTCTGCGTCTCGGCCACCGGCGACGTCGGTTTCGCCAGCCCGTTGCAAGTTCCTTGGCATGCTTTTTGGATGTTCCTAACCTTGAACTTCAAACCTAACGAGTGTTGTAGGACTGCCTGTCCCTGACTCTCGGTGACTGTTAAACTACGGTACATGCGAAACCTTTTGAAGGTTACAGACAAACCAAAAGAATCCGATGCCTCCTGCTTGCAACTCGACCCTATAAGCCTGAAACTGCGTTTAGGATTTAGGGCATAATTAGAACTCTAAACCCAAGAACCCCTTTGCCGACAAAAAAGCAGCGTAAAACTTCCTCAGGCCCTCCCTAACCCCCAGAGGTCGGGCAGGCAACGGCAAGGCCGGTCCCTGCAGGGCAAGTCTCTGCAGGGCTGGGCCCGGCATCGCAAGCGGCAAACGGAAGATCTGGTTTGGAGCCAGGGGGCTCCGGGTCGCCCCAAGGCTCGGGGTTTAGGGTTTGGGGTTTGGGGTTTGGGGTTTAGGGTTTAGGGTTTAGGGTTTAGGGTTTAGGGTTTAGGGTTTAGGGTTTAGGGTTTAGGGTTGGGGTTTGGGGTTTAGGGTTTAGGGTTGAGGGTTCCTTAGCCAGGAGGTGTTGGAAGCCTAGGGTTTTCGGGAGGGTTTCCACACCCCCAGGAGGGTGGGACACCCCGCATCTGAAATCCAAGCTCTACAATCGCATCCAGCACTTCGTGCGGAGGAGCTTGGGTGGCCCCCGGGATTCGAGAAGCCCTGACCTGCTAAACCCAAAAAAACCCGACCCTTTTCTTTCCCTGAAGACGATGCAGCCTTGAAGGAGTGGTTCGTTTGAGGGCTTGAGGCTCAATTCGTGTGTGTGTGCAGGCTTGCCAGGATTGGGAAGCTTAGGGGCTCGCCGGTGAGTAGGGGCTTTCAGGGCTCATAGTGCTTATCAGTCTTCCAGGGCCTCTACGACCCACAGGCTTTTGGAGTCTTTAGTGCTTAGGCTTAGATCCTGTTGAGGGTGTAGGGTTCAACAGTCTCACCTATCAAGTCCTGCCCAAGACACTTTGCCAATTGTGTGCGAATTTAGGGTTTGGGGTTTAGGGTCGTGGGTGGGCCATCAAACATGAAGAGCTTACGGGATTCATCTGTGGTTTCCCCAGAACTTGTTCCACACATCACGTCGGTCTTGTTCCACAACCCTTTTTCTCCTCGCAATGTCAATTTTCTACATTGTCTTCCACACATCGCGCCAGTTCTTCCGCAGCTTTTTCAGGGCATCGTGGGACATCTCCACAACCGTGTGCGGGCAAAGTTGAGGACAATGTTGCGAAACAAAAGATGAAGTTGCAGAGCAAGTCGCGGAAACAACGCAATCCGATTCCTCCAAGAGCCGACTAAGTAGGTTACGTACCAAGGTCCCAAGGAACCCAACAATTGGGTATCTGGTTTTGGGTTAAACCCTAAACCCTAAACCCTAAAGTGAGCACAATTCTGCGTGGTCTCGCTGCACACCCAACCGGAGGCAACCGGAGGTACAACTTATTGCCAAAATGTCTGAGCACGCCTTGAGTCTCAAACACTCAGCCCCACAAAGCCCGAGTCCCAAACCCGTAGGTTCGGATTACACCGCAAGACTTACATAGCCGAGATTCAACCTTAAAAACCCTAAATTCTGGGCCCAGCAATCACAGAATGATAGCGTTTCTAGAGGCAAGGGTTCTGGACAGGAACCTCACAAAGGCGGAGTTGCGCATCGACGTGACTGGTTGTGGTTTGCACTTCGCGGCATGCGTCCAGGCCGTCAACAAGTCTAGCCCACTAATCCTTTAAGAACCTCTTACCTCAAACTCTAAACCCTACATGTAGGTCCCTTGGAGCCCAACAATTGGTAGTTGGAGGTTTTAGGGTAGGCCCGCTAGGACTTGAAGGTATACCCTACATCATCCCAAGGCTTCATGCCTGGAAGCCCTGAAACCAACCCTACATCCGAAGGGGTTCACTTTGCTGGGGTTTGGGCTTCGGGTTTTTGGTGCCAAAGGGGGGTCTTTAGCTCTAAGTGACCGCCATGACGGCCAACTCATCACGTCGACCTGGAACCAGCCCTACACCCTGTGCTGCGCGAAACTTCCCAGAACAACTCTGAAAACATTGAGTCTTCAACCTAAAACCCCCTGAATCCTAAACCCTAAACTCCCTAATCTTTGGGGGGGGGGGGGGGGTTCGGGTTCAGGTTTTTTTTGCCACCCGCACTGCACACCCAGAAAGTCCAGTTCGTCCGTGGGAAGCCTCCTAAACCCCTAAATTCCCAAAATTCGCTTAAAATTCTCTAAATTCCCTCAGTTCCCTAAATTCCCTAAATTCCCTAAAACCCCTAAATTCCCTAAATGTCCGAAACCCCCATCAACCCCGCGCTTGAAGGCGAACCTCCCCGGCATTCTTCAGGGCAGCTTCCGTGGGAGGGCGGACACGAAGAAGCAGGCAACGGGCCGCCGGGGGGGTAGTTTACTTGTAGGGTTCTAGCTAGAGATTGCGGTTTTCACGAAGTTATGCGTAGCATGATCGGAACGTAGGCCCGTGCCGCTTTGAAGCATGAAGATTTTAGAGGCAGGTTTGCTTCCCCCGCCGACGCCTCAGGCAGAGTTGAATGCTTGTGAAGTTGCCCTACGCCATTTGCCAGCCAGGGTGGGCTCATGCAGTGCCCCCCAGGCAGCACAGGCGCCGCAAGCTCAAGGCAGTGGTGCTTCGTGCCCCCCGCAGAGGCAGCAACCGCAGGAACCGCACGCACAAAGCCAGCAAGCACCGGCATCTCAAGGGCAAGCCAGCAGCAGTTCTTTTCCCACACACGGCCAGACAGCACAAGCGCCAAGAGCTCAAGCCAGCAGCTCGCCTTGTCCCACACAGAGCCAGCAAGTGCAAGCACCACGAGCTCAAGCCAGCGGCGCTGCCTGGCTCGCACAAAGCCAGCAAGCACAAGCACCGCAAGCCCAAGCCAGAAGCAACTCCGTTTCGACGCCTTCAGAAATTGATCCGCCCTTGTCGCCTCCAATGCAGACGTGTTTTTGCAGCTTGACGGGTCTGCTGTCGAAGCTACCGGTACGGATTCTTGGAGACTTCAGTCTAGAGCGGCTTGCTGATACAATCCACTGCAGCAGAGCTCAACGTCTTGTGCTGCTTCTTGTTCTGCATTGTGAGGTCAGATGCAAATGCCTGCCGACTGGTGCTTGTAGCATCCTGTAGCAACCTTAAAGCAACATGCAGCACACGTGCGTTCAAAGTTTCTTTGCTGCTTTGGCCGCTGAGGTCGGCAGGGCATGCCATGCGCATTGCCCGTGCTGGTGGCTGGTTTGACCCCTGTACCTTGCCGCAGACCCTCATCGAGATTGAAGATCTGCAAGAGTTGTGTGAGCGGCTCGGGATCCGACAAACAAGCCAGGTCACCGTGACTCGGATGAATCGTGGAGTGGGTTTCAACTTATACCCCGATTTTTTCTCGAAAGTGGTCCAGAGTCCAGGGTTCAGACCCCATTTCGAACACCACTGTGAGACCTAGGCAGGCACGTGCATGGTCCAGGTGGAGGGGCTCCATCGCGCGAGTTTGAGTTATGAGACCTTGATCTGCGGGGGGAAGCGCATCAAGTCTGTCGTGCTCCACATCACACGCTTGCTGCCCGGCGTTTCCGGTGTGGTCCAAGGGCAGCTCCAGGCAGGGTCCGTGCTCTTCATGGGACCAATCTGCTCGGGGAAGACGACGATGTTGCGCGATGTCGCGGCCTATTTTTCTCTGACACATCAAGTAGCGGTCGCGGACTTTACTGGCGAGTTTCAAGGTGCCATTGGCGCCTTGTGCGTCGCACATCAGCCAGGCCAGGATCCTTTGCAGCTTCTGTCCCTGCTGTTATGCCAGCACAGCCCAGAAATCATCATTGCTGAGTTCGGGTCCCTCGCTTATGTGGTGGCTGCTGCAAAGATGTGTGCAGACTCCGGGGTGCGTCTGCTGTGCTCGGCTCGAGGCAGCTTAGACGGTCTCATAGACTTTTTCTTGCAGGCCAGCTTTGAGAGCCACGTGCCAGCCTGCAGTTCTTTCCCACTGGACGCGGTCGTGGTGCTGCGTCGGGAGATGGACTACTATCAGCTCTATCCAAATGCCAAAGCCACTGCATGCTCCATGGTGCAAGGCTGGCGGCCCTGGTGTGAGCAGCACCAGGCCACCCAGTCCAAGGATTTGTGGGTTTTTTGGGGGCCTAAACAAACGTTGCATCATGAACGGAGCTTAGCCCCGCGTGCTTAAACCCCGAAGCCCAAAAAAAACAAGGGAGTGAGTTTCCAGCTCGGAGAGTTTGACGTCGCGGCAGGAAACCCGAGTTGTTTTGGCAAAGGGGGTTCACTTGGTTTAGGGGCCCTGTGTGACTGTCTAAGTTAAGGCAATAAAGTTCAGCTTTTCGGGGTGTATAGGGCTTCCATTTATTCAGTTTATGTAGTTCTATCAGCGATCAATTGGGTACGAGGGCACAATCTCGAGCGACATCCGAAAGGAACCACGCATGCGGGACTGCCTTGAGAGCCCAAAGCTCCGGTTTCCCCTACGCCCCCTCTGCAGGCACAGGATACCTCTGCACGCTCGCCACTGCGGCTGGAGGTTCGCAATTTGGCGCCGTCTCGCGACGTCTCCTGCCTTGCGGCGCAGTGAGCCCCGGTAGCAAGTTTAGGGTGGGTTGGGGGTTTGGGGTGAAGGTTTATCGGGTTTATAGGGTGTAAACTGTCACCTTCTTGGCCTACGCGTAAACACACTTTTGAGTGAAACTCTTGAGGTTTTCCGCCGGGAGGGTTTAGGGTTTACGTTCGATATCTCTGCTTATAGCTACCCATGAGCCTCCCAGTTCTGTCTTCTAGCAACATCGGGTGCTCCTTGCCCAGGGCAAGGCCACTGCAGCAGCTTCGAAATAGCTTCAAGCAAATCACTTGATTCGCGTCAAAGACAAATCGAACTAACCCTAATCCCAAAGCCTGAACAAAATCACAAACCCTAAACGTGAAAGACTGAGCCACCTTCAGTGGCAAAGTCGCCCACTCTTGATGCATCAGAACAACTCCTCCAACTAAATTCTAAACCCTAAGCCCTAAACTTATCCATTAATCTTGGGGTGAGTCAAAGTTTTTTGAAGCACGAAAATCCTGGTTTCGCAGGCTGTTCAGAGCTTCTTTTGGGGCTAAACTGGCTGCACCTTGAACCCTAAGTCTTGGGGCTTTGGGCTTGAAATTTAGGACCCCAAGCTAAGGCCCCCCCAAAAGACCACGGGCTGAGGGCTGCGCATGAATTTAAGCCCATCGGTCAGGCACTGGAGTCCAGCTTCAGTAGCGGACGGCACGAACTCCCGGAGACAAAGGCTTGCGTGGTTTCGGGTTTAGGGGTTCGTTGCTTAACCCCTTCCCCCTAAATAATAAGCCCTAGTATTAGATAGCCCCCAATGTATAGAGGCACGGCCCCGCAAGAGCTTGCTTGTTTTCTCCGCTCGTCCTTCCGTCCTTCCGTCGGGTCCTGTGCGTGTGGTCGGTCGGGTCGGGTCCGGCCACACCACACCCGGGAGAAGGTGCCCGAAAACCCTCAACGACCCTGCTCGCTTCCCTCTTTCCCGCAACTGCGACTTGAGCAACCTTCGTTTTGCATCTAACTTTGCATAGTTTGAAGATTTCTCTAGCCATAAATTTTATGAATATGAAAAAACCGCACAGCCTGACCTAAGCTTTAACGCCGCCGGCTCAGCAAGACTCTAAAACCTGCAAACCCGAGACCGCAGGGCTTCAGGGTGTCAAAGTTTCGGGAAGCTTGAGTTCGGGGTTTTGGGGGTTTAGTCTTAGGCGTTTCGTTAGTTGGAGTTTGCTTTTTTGGGATTCTGGCACTTATAGAGGGCTTCGGGGTTTGCGAGGTTTTCGCGGTTTCCGACCCTTTTCATTAGATGAAAAGCCCCGTTTATATTAAAGCCCGCTTTCGGAGGGCTTTAAGGATGTAGGTATGTTCGGATGTTTAGAAGAGGCGTTAAGGATGTGGCTGAGGGTTTCGTGTTCAAGACTAAATTTTTCTGAAGATGGAGCGACCGGAGGTTTTTGGGTTTAGGGTTTGGGAGGGGGGGGGTGGGGTCGGGCAAACAGTTTTCAGGTTTAGGGTTGAAGGTTGCTTCCTCCCAGGCAGCAGTGTTGAGGAGACGAGGAAGAAGCTTACATAAGAGTGAAGATGTTCAGAGTTTCAAGGTTTTAGCCTTCAGGGTTTCAGGGCAACCCCTAAACCAAGGTCTGCGACCGGGCAGGGCATTGGGGGTCTAAAGTTTTAGGGTGGGCTCCGACTTGACCTGGGCCTGTTTCCGACTTGTGCCCACGCTTTTCCGACTCGACGTGTCCGAGCTTGCTTGAGTTCAAGGAGGATTCAGGGCGCGCGTGTGTGTACCCGCCTCAGTAGGGCTTGCGGGGCTTTAGGTGGCATCAGGGTTTAGTCTTGCTTTTTTTTGGCGCGTTTCGACGCCAATCTTGGTTTTAAAGAAACCCTAAACCCTAAACCCCACGAAGAGACGCAGCAGCAAGTCAGCCAGGTCTCTTCCTTGCAATCTTTGGGGCCTTGGGCCCTCAGCCCCGAACCAAAGAACCCACACCCGAAACGGGCCTAAACCCTAAACGCTTCGAGGGCTCGAGGATGATACGAAAATTGAGTTTGAGGTCTAAGGTTTGGTGTTCGTCATTCTGTGCCTTAAACGGCAAGATCCTTCAGTCTTTCTCAGATATGGCGACGCATCCTTTTCTGAAAAGATTGAAATCCAAAGTTCCTGAGTTGAATCTGAAGGCAGCAATTCTTTTGAAGCACAATTCAGGAAGACCAGTCATCAAGTACAATGTAGAGGCTTCTCTCGCTCTCTCGCCCCCTCGCGCTTTTGTGTGCGTGTATGTGGAGGTGTAGGTGTAGGTGTAGGTGTAGGTGTAGGTGTAGGTGTAGGTGTAGGTGTAGGTGTAGGTGTGCGTGCGTGCGTGCGTGCGTGCGTGCGTGGGTGGGTGTGTGTGTGTGTGTGTGTGTGTGTGGGTGTGGGTGTGGGTGTGGGTGTGGGTGTGGGTGTGGGTGTGGGTGTGGGTGTGGGTGTGGGTGTGGGTGTGGGTGTGGGTGTGTGGGTGGTGGTCTCCGTTTCTCCCCCCCCCCCCACTTTGCCCTCCCTCCCTCACCTTGTCCTCCCTCATGCCAGCTCCCTCCTTTCGTTCATTACCTACTCCCGCTGGCCACCTGTCATGGTTACATCTGTTTGCTGGCCTCTGCAGGCAAGTGCTTGTAGCACAGACAGCAAGATGAGTTCGATGTATGAGCTGCAACCAGAAAGTGAACGACATAGCTTGCAAGAGGGTTCAGCGTAACGACATAGCTTGCAAGAGGGTTCAGCGTAGGTGCTGCGCTCTGGGTAGTTAGAATCTGTGGTCAGCCAATAAAATGCAACAGGTGCTGTGGTCAGCCAATGAAGATGTCAGAAATGAAGTGACTAGATGTGTTTGCATGAGCCCTTTTGCTGCTGGAATGGAGTTTCCGAGTTACTTGCCGGAGTTCGCAGAACGAGATGTTCCTCGAGGGATCACACAAAAGCGCCGGGATGTCGATGGGAGGAACAACGTACGTGTAAGAGCCAACGTCATAGAAATCGTGGAGGTCGACACAGTAAGAGAGACTTTTCAGGCGGTCTTCGTGCTTGAGTTTACCTATGTGGATCCCACTCTGGAAAACACCTGGCTCCACCTGAAGTATCGCGACGATAATGGGAGCGTCGTGACTACTTTTGCCCAGGTGCCCGGTGGCTCCTCTTAGAATACCTTCGCTAGAGCGTAGTGCCGTCGCGCCTTTTCGTCCTCACCCGCCTTCGTTGATGGGGGTTGTGGTTGTTGGGTTCAGTTGCTGGGTCTGGGTGCTAGTGGTTCTTCCGTTTGTTGTTCTGGGCTTCTGGCGTCGCAGTGTTTGTTGGGCTGTGTCGGATTCCTGGCTTGCTCTGGCCGAGCCACTTCCGCACGGTGCAAGGTTGATTCATGCACTAGTTTACGCGTTGGTTACTTTGCTCTTTCCTTGATTGAATACTTCGCGACTTTAAGAAAGCTTCAGACTCATTCGCTCACCAGTTTTTTCTTCAGTTGATTAGTTCCTTGAATCAGTAGTTCACTATTGAGTTGTTGATTGATTCATCGATTGATTCATCTGTTCTATCTTTTGCGGATTTGTTCATTATGTAAGTGATCAAGCAAGTCGAGCATCAAGTCTTTACATCATCAAGGAAAGGGGTTACCGGCATTTCTAGGGTCCCGAGAAACCGCCCTGTAGGTTCTGGGGCAAGCAGCGGGTGATCGGATCGTCGTACGCACCGGCAGGCAAGTGAACGATTCTTCAGAGATCATCCAGGATGAAGCGGGGAAAGCAATTCGGAAGGATCGTGTGCTGGCCATCTACTTGCCGGAATATTTGAGGGAGACTGACCCCGATGGCTGGGCGCAGCATTTTGCCTTGGAGCCTCGGCCACGCAGGGAATGCACAAGGCGTCACAGCTGGTTTCTTTTTCCAAAAGCCGTCAGCTTTTGGAGGGAGAGGAGGGGGAGGGGAGAAAGATGAGTGAGAGTGAGTGAGTCAGTGAGTGTGTGTGTGTGTGTAGTGAGTATGTAAGTGGGACACCGGATGTGCTTGCGTAGATGTATAGGTTTGTGTTTGTAGGTAGTTGTGCTTGTGAGAGCGTTCAGGTTTTGTATGGTGTCTTTTTGCGTGCCTCGTGGCATGTTGTGCATTCTTCTTCAGCTCGTGCACATCCTGATTGTGTCATAGATATACACAACTGGGATCGATAACGTGCCACAGATCAAGACCATGCACTTCTGCCTGGTGCCTGCGTGTGCTGTTTTCAGCGAGTCGCCTTTTGCCTATAGTTATTGTGACGGGCCTAGGACTGGTCTTTCATGAATGCGATCGATGAGCCCAAGATCATGATGCAGTCCCGACAGATTGAGTACTTCAGCGAAAGAGGTGCCCATGCAGCTAGCCGCGCAGCAGAGTGGGCAGTACTTTGTACATGGTCGCAGTAAGGTGATGCCTGCGATTCCACTGCTGGTGCTCAGGTAAAGTACAAGGGCAAGTTCAATGCGATTCTCAGCGAACGCCTTGAGCTGGATGCCATGCCTTTCGACCGGCAGCTTCTGCGAATCCAGGCCTGGCCGCTCTGCAAAAACCATGGCCTCTTCTGTTTGGGTCTCATGATGCGTCTGCCCAGTATCGTGCTTGCCAGTATGTTGCTCCTCCGTGTTCCCGGAGTTCCGAAGATCTCACGATGTACCCCAAAACAGAAGGCCTTAAGAAAGCAGGCAGCGAGGGGGTTCCCCCTGACTGCATTTACTTCAGACGCTTTCAGCTGAAGGGAGCAAGGAGATGGTCCCTGCCAGGGATTAAATCCGTCACTCTGTAGAAACATGCAGAAATAGCCTCCCGTTCTTGCTTGGGCCAGGTTGAGAGTTTTTGCATCGGTAGAGTGGGGTTGTTGAGATCCGGGGGGCAGTGGTTGGTTCCCGGGTTCCCGCTGACGACCCCCTACAACAGTTGACCCCCTACAACTGTTGTATCAGAGACTCTTATAGTATATCATGCATGTTCTTGTCGACCTTCATCAAAGGCCTTTGATAAGTCACCAATCCGGTCATTGACCTGAATGAGACCCGAGACCGTATATCCGCGTGGGCCTTGCCGTGGTTCCCCCACTGAAAGCCCAAGTCTTACAGCGTGAAAGCAAGAGCTCAGCGTGTCCCAGTGGCCCTGACTTTATGTAACTAAAAATAGTGGTTCTATGCCCAACCTGTGTTGTGAGGTCGTGGCCGAGATTCCAGCCTACCGGATGCGGTTCTTGCCCACGTACTCTTCTGGGGGGCGGTTGAAACTTACCAGCTGAGGTGGCGAGTTTTGCGTCGTGCCTTTTGTCTACAAATAAGCGACCAACCTGTTTTGGCCACGTTCCTGCCCAGTCACTGAGGAAGACTTCTCCCGCCAGGCCTTATGAGCAGGTGCCCCGAGAGTGGAGGGTTGATGCCGACCGACGCTGGCTGCCGAAAGTGGAAGTTCTCGAGGAGCGGGTTTGTGTAGATTCCTTCATACGGACAGGCGCAGGCTTCAAAGTGGCAGCCCCCCGTTTCGCTTTCGCTTGTTTTTCGGATCCTTGGACGCTAGCACCCTGGACCCTCGGACCCTCACACCGTCGAACCCTCCTGTCGGGTCCTTGTGGTCTTCGCGTCGTGTTTCCGGGTCGTGTGCTCGGGTCGTGTCCTTGTGTCGTGGTATGTCTTTGTGCGGTGTCCTCGTGTCGTGTCTTCATGTCGTGTCTTCGTCTTCGTGTCGTCTCCTCGTGTCGTGTCCTGGTGTCGTCTCCTCGTGTCATGTCCTCGTGTCGTGATTTCATGTCGTGTCTTCCTTGCCATGTAGCAAGAGTACTAGTATTGGTACTAGTACCTGTACTCGTACCAGTACGTCTGGTACCACCACTACCCACCACAACTGCCGCCGGCGGCGGCGGCAGCAGCAGCAGCAGCAGCAGCAGCAGCACCAGCAGCAGCACCGCCGCAGCAGCAGCAGCACCGCCGCCACAGCCGCCGCCGCCGCCACCGCCACCACCCCACCCCCACCACCACCACCGCCGCCACCACCACCACCACCACCATCACTCAGGAGGACGCGAATGACTAGTGCCGTGGGCTACGTTGCCAATGGCTCTCCTCCCATCCAAGAATGGAGCACAAACACAGATCCCTAACCCAACATCTACCTAATTTCTTTTGCTGTGGCTCAGTCGTGCTTGAAATCACGAGTGGGAATGCAGGATGACCCTTGATGTGAGTATGTGTCAGACGCACCGGAAAATTCCCCAGTGTAGAGGACCCCCTTGCTTTGAGCACGTTCATGTGTGAATCACCAACCTCATGTTTTTGCTGGGCATGTAAAACCGCACCCTGAACAACCTGATGTAAGTCCTCAGAGTTTTGCCAAGGAGGATGGGCCGAACGCACGGTCCAGGTGGCTCGTTTTGTCAAAGCAACGGGCGCCGAGCAGCTGTGTTGAGGAGCAGGGGATGAGAGTGTAGGGCTTGAGTGAGTTTGATCTTCATGGCCCTGTATGGAATGACGATTTCAGGCCTACAAAGGTTTCCTTCTTGTGGATGTGTGTTTGGCATGCTTTTGTTAGTCTTATGAGGAGGTCTGCCAAACAGGGTTTATCTGGACCTTGAGGAGTGTTTGAGGGAAGTGAATAGACTGGTAGGATTGCTCTGCTGATAATGATTTCTGAGGCTCTCAGTGTCAATCCAAGATTCGGGGAGAGGGGTGGGAACTGTTCCCCAACAGAGTAGGTTTGATATCCACATCTACTTGGAGCGAAACCCGACCTTTTACCTCTACAACCTTTGCTTGCTTCTTGCAATGTTCACTTTGGCAACCTGTGCCTTGGAGGCAATGGACTATAAAGTTCTGACGCTTAAGAACATTCTGGGTATTTCTTGCCTGTGAGTTAGCTGCCGACAAAAACATCAAATTCGATTTCCAGGCATTGGCTTCTGCACAGACGTGGGTGGGCAGGCGGATCGGTTGTCTGTGCACCTGACCTTGCTGCTCACGACTGTAGCCTACAAGTACGTGGTTACGACATGGCTGCCCGTAAAGCCATACCAGACGAGACTGGATAAGTTCACTCTGAGATGCTTCTATTTCCAGTTCGCGGCCATGGGGCTCTGTGCTCTGGAGCCGTTTCTGCAGAACCGCCACGTGATCAGCGAGGAGGGGATGACATCTCTGGTCATTTGCGTGTACTCGTTGCTTTTTGCACTCCTTCTCGCACTGGGATGTATGGTCACACTGGGAGAGTACGGATACTGCAGAGCACTGTATCAATGGTTCTTTTTCCAAGAGTGGAATGAGGCAGGCTTTTGTCAAAGATGGGGGTCGGCCCGTACACCGCATAGCCGTACTCCTCGTACCACCCCGGCTTTGTCGGTATCGCCGTTGCTCGTCGCCCGTGTCACGAAGACGCCAGGTCTACGCCAGCAATCATGTGTGGCCCAACCGCAGCACTGGAGAGCCACCCAGCATTTACGTTGCGGGTGCCGTCGCCCCTGCAGCTGGCATTAATGTGGACCCTTACGACCAAACCCTCAACGAAGTCACTGAGCTGCTGCTATCGGACACGGACTCCAACTGAGAAGGCGGCGCCCACGTCTACAAGAGTGTGACAGGCCTTGTCGGCAAACTTCCCAGTTGGGACATCGCCTCAACCTTTTGTTGGGACCTTCGCCTGGGTCGATCTGCAGTATAGCAATTCGCCGCCCTCAAATAAACCCCAAGTGCCTATGACCACTCTAAACGCTCATCGCTCCGTATACGAACGCAGATGACAATCATTTTCTCCCCTCCACGTGAGTCACTGTTTACAGGCAGTACTGCCTGGCAGGCAGTACAGACATATGCGTCCCCCCCTCAAGCAAAAACCAGTGTGATCAGAGAATGCGATCATAAACATCCAGGTTCGCCGCCCCGCCATAAACCAACCCGACAGAACTGTTGGCAGGCCTCGGGGCGTCTCAATTCTTCCCAAAGGTTTCCCAACATAGTTATTAGTAGTTATCATTGTCTCAAGGATATTCAAGGATAAGGCTCATTTTTATTTCGCCTCAAGACTCGGAAAAAATCTCTCATGTTAAGCTTCGCCACCCCCATGATTCCACTGACCCATATGGATGTTGGGAATACTGAGCATCAATGATGAAGTAGATTTGTTTCAACAAGTCTCTCTCTCTCTCTCTCTCTCTCGCTCTCTCTCTCTCTCTCTCTCTCTCTCTCTCTCTCGCTTCGTTTGGCTAAAGGTCGGTTTACAGCCCTTGTGTAGATAGTTTTTGGTCCTTCCCGGGGACAAGGCCTTGTATAAAGACTCTCAAGACTCGCAGTTAAATACGTCATTGCCGGATGCACGGCCCGGTCCCATAGTCCGCCATCTTTCCGATGATTTGCAGGCGTGGGTTGACCAGGGTCTCTGTGCTTAGTGGCCAGACTCTTTGTGAGCCTTGCGCGCGTTGCTGACCTTTTCGCCCTCAGAAGCAGGTGCCGCTTCTTTCTTTCTTCTGTCACACTGCCCTCACCAGTAGGGTGTTGTGTGTGTTCTAGTTTTGGCGCCGCCCTCAGAAGTAGGCGTGGTATTTCTCTGGAAGTGCTGATGTGGCAGCGTATCTCAAATACTTTCAGCAAACAAAATGTCTTTGGCCAGGCCTGCCTGTCCTTGGTCTAGAATCACAAAGACCCGGGAGTTACATTTGCATGTGTAACATAGACATTTCCGAAGAATCGGGGACCCCCTTATATACCCCACAAATCTTGATTTTCTTAACCCTAGGAAGCCCCAGAAATGGTACCCCTTTTGTCGGAAACCTCCTTTACAAGGATGCCTTCAAGGTTCAGGGTATTTGGGGCTCAGGGTTTATGAAGGCGCAATCCTTTCAAGCAGTTCCGACCTCACAAGACTGGGTCTAGAGTTTTGAGGGTTTAGCGGTTTATGGGTTGAGGGCCTGAAGAGCACAAGGTTTGAAGGGTTGAAGCCGAAACCCTACAACCCTAAACCCTGACCCCGTGAACCCCGTTAAGCCCTGAACCCCTAAACCCTGAATGCGAAAGCAGCCTCGGCCGTTTCAGCCTCATACCGCCATTCGGCAGCACGCCCGGTCCAAAGTCATCGCATTCCGATGGCCGCGGCTGGGGCAAAAGCAAAAGGGTCGAAGGATCCCAGTTTTTTTTGGGGATTGGGGGGGGGTTCAGGATAGGGCTTCAGGGCTTCGGGGTTTAGGTGTTAGGGGGGGGGGGGGGGGGGGGGGGGGGCTTCGGGGTTTAGGTGTTAGGGGTTTTGGGATTTCAGGGTTTGGGGTTCAGGTTTGAGGTTGAGAGTTCTTTGGTTGAGGGTTTTGGGTTCAGGGCTTAAGCCCCTGTTGGCGAGCTGTGCGTTTAGTTCGGTCTTGGTCGTATTGGTTCCATGGCAATGAGGAAATTAGCTTCCTCAGATCCCCCTACAAGAACTTCGTAAGGATATTTAGCCCAAACCCTAAACCCTAAATCCTAAACCCTAAACCCTAAACCCCCCCCCATTTCCCGACCAGGAACCCTCAGAGGCCCTTAGTACCACTCTTTCCTGAGCCAAGTTGCGTCCTCATGGCTTCAGGGCTTAGGGCTCCAGTGTTCAAGCTTCTGTATGGCCTTCAAAGCTGCCCTACCAGCTAAAACACTTTTGTGTGGGTGTTTGATCATTGATCTAAATCATGGGTCCCATTCGGTACTCTGCACTACAGGCATACCATCCTGCAAAAATGTCTTTTTTCGGCACCATATTTTACGTATCGACCCCTAAATGAGGGATCCTGGCTCTTCGACACCAAATGATTGCACAATTCTTCGTCGCCTTGGAACGAGGTTCTAAACCACACCCCCCCCCCCCCCCCCACAAAAAAAAGAAAACAAGACACAACGCATTTGAGAGTCTAGGTAGGGTAGAAGACGAAACCGACAAGCCCTGAGCTGAGCTTCTTCAAGGCTTAGGGTTTTGGGCCCGGTTGTTTACTTTGACAGCGTATACATTTCACAAGGGCCGAGCGCTAGCCCTACTGAGAGAATCCCCTATAGATTCCCTCAAAGGGATAGAAATGGGGGATCAGGGTTCAAGGTTCAGGGTTTCGGGTTTTAGGGTTTCAATGTTTTGGGAAGCACTGCGTCATCCTTACGTCCACCTTTTTCACGTCTTGAGGGTCTGGGTTGATGACTGTCACGTTGGTGCAATGACCGATATGAAGTTGAGAGCGTCTTGCTGACGCTATCTGCGAGCATTGCCATCCTCTTTGAAATAGCAAACCCAGCTTACACCACGACACCTGAAAGGCCTCAGAACTTTTTCAAGGTCCCGAAAGCAGCTCAGCATCTTCTTGTCCAACACATCTAAGGATGGCATGGAATTCTGGTCATCCTCCGGGAAGGCGGCGTCACCTAACACACACGAAACCAGCTGCAGCTAGTCACGTTGAGCTTTGCTCCACGAACAAGCAAGACTCATAAAGGATTGGGGTGCACACGTAAACAGCATATCCACCGTAAAACCCCTTAACCTCTTCGAAGCCCCGACGCCTATCCTTAGACCCGGGGTTTATAGTCCAGCCAGCCATCCATATCCCCAAGGTACAACTTGAGGCTCTCATTCTTCAACTCGCCGACCTGCTCGTACTCTGATGCCTGCTCGAAGAGGGAGCGCTTGATGGTCCTTGCAAAGGCAGGATTTGGCATTCACAGTTTTTTCACAAAGTGCTCCACGTATTTTAGGCGCCGCCAGTTCTTATGCAAGCTCTCCTCAAGCTCCTAAAGCTGAGTACTGCGCAGTGCTGTCTTATCGCAGCAGAGACAAGGTACGCCCTGCTCCATGAGCCGCACTATCCTACCTGTCCCGCTTTGGTTGGCACCTGCTTCACGGGCTTTGCTCTGCCTTCGAGTATGCTGCTTGTCTTTCGCAAGGCCACCGCCCAGCTGAGATCGGCGGAGCATAGCTGCGATTCGAAAAGACAGTTTTGTGGATATCTTGGGCTTAAGCTGAGGCTGGTTTCATTGTCCTCGCCTTCCTGGCGAAGCTCTACTTCGCAGGCGTTTCAACCTTCTTGCCTTGTCTAAGCTGCCCTCGACAGTACATCTATGCATGGCAGTAGCCCCTCATGTGTGGCTAGAACTCGGAATGCGCGCTCTGTTTTCGCAGGCTCCGAGGAGCTTTCTGCATTCTCATCCTGCGCGACCGGCGCGATGCCCGAGACGTGAGCCCTTGCAAGAAGAACAGAGCAACTTGACCGAAGCAGTTGGTGCACGGACAGGAAAGGAGGAAAGAGGGTTTCTGGTCAGGAAGCGGGGAGGCAGTTCGCGCGGGGGCTAACAGGGCGTGGTCCAGGGTGCCAGACAAAAGTCCCAGAAACACCCAAATTTGCGCGTTTTGGAGCGCCCCCTCTTTCGGAGCCACCGACAGGCGGGACCCCCACGGCATCGGTTTGCAGCTCCTCCGAGCGATTTGGGGGGAGTCCCACAGGCCCGGGTGGGGGGGGGGTCCGTCAGAAAATTTTGCATGGGGGGGGAGGGGGGGAAGGAGGCCCGATCCGGGTCTGCTTGTTCCAGACCCTTCTCGGCAGGAAGCCGAGGCGAGTTTCCTGACCTGTGCCGGCTACAAGTAGGACTTTAGCAACAGATGATCAACAACCCTTCTCAACCCACTATGAGCAATGGCATAGCCCGACTTTGGGTTGAGAGATAAACAACGTGCAACCAAACCTCTCCTCTCGCGCCTCACTCCATTGACGGTTTAGGGTTTAGGGTTTAGGGTTTAGGGTTTAGGGTTTAGGGTTTAGGGTTTAGGGTTTAGGGTTACCCTGCCAGGAAGTCCGGCCGCAACAAAGACGGTGATGAGGAGCCCCCCTCTGGCGCGATGTTTTGGCCGGCAACTCTGGCGGAGAGGACTGCTTGGGGACACCGTCTTCCTGGGTGTTGGGGTCCAGGAGGGCTCGCATGATTTCGGTTCTTTGTTAGTGAAGGCCTAAAAAGAATGCTGAGCTTGAGCGGACCGAACCCCAATAATTCAACCCCACTGGCTTAGATCTTCAACCCCTCGGCCTTCGGCCCCAATCTCCCAACACCCTAAGCCACCCTAACCCACTATTCCAAACCCCAAGCCACAGCCCAGAACCTCAGACCCTGAGAACCTTCGACGCCGACTTCCCAATTTTCTCCCAAAGCTCGAGCCCCAAGATTCTGACTTTCGAAGCCCCAAAACTCCCTTCTCAAGCCCACCTCCCACGCCCGAAGGATACTGGTGTAAACCTCTGAGAAAGAAAGGCCACACGACCGTACAGCTATGGCTTTCACCCAAGAACTCCAAACCCACAAATGCAGAACTCCGCAGGGCCGAACTCCGCGGGCCTGGAGCGATCCTAGTTTAGTAGAGTTTAGAGTTTTAGGGCCTGTTGGGTTTTGGCTCGGACTGGACTCTTATGCAAGGTCTTTTTCGGTAGGCAGTCACACATCAGAGCACGTCCTGTAGTTTTGCTCGAGACGCTGGGACTAGATGATCCATTTGCCCTGCGGGCATGCAGGAGGCGCTGACCAGCTCTACTAAGCTTTACTGGTCCATAGCGCGCATCGCAA